CTATGAAGCGTATACAAATGCCTTTGTTTACAACTAGATATTTATAGACCATTGTTCTTAGATTAAATATTTCCTTATTTGTTCCTACTTCAGGCCCAAATCTAAAGATTGCATTCTGCCATTTTCTGCTTCAAATATGCTGATTCTTTCTATTATGATTTTCAAGATCATTTTAATGAGGTAACTTACTAAGCTTGGAACTCTAAAATTATATCACTCCTTTCTTGCAGATTTCTTAGGTGTCACAAGCCCTTGGAATGTGATCCTTTGGTGTATATTTGATCTGTTACCACTTCTATTCATCTTTCTCAAAAGGCTTTTAGATATTCTGTTGTTTTATCTATGCCCAAAGCTATGTTAAAGCAATCTTTAGCTCCGAGATCATTTTATTTAGTCCATCATTTGCCTGTATATTTTCAAGGATCCCTGAAGGAAACTGGTATCATACTGCAAATGGAAACAACTGCGAGGAAAGGAGACACATTTTTACACTACCATTAGACTTCCAGGAGTATAGCTTTTCTTAAAGATTTTCATAATGGATAAATTTAACATTTCTTAGCTTTAATGCGACATTTCATTTTTTCCCCAAATTCTGAATTACATGGCAACATGGTAAGAAAATATGCAATTGTTAGTAAACATACTGATATACCAGTGCTTAAACAAAGTTATTTTGCATTATCTGCATTGGTTTACTGTACCTTTTGTCTAATGAAAGGCAGAAATAAATAGCAAACCTTGCTCTGGTAATTTAACTAGATCCATTATACATCCCAAGCTCCAATATATTTTTCTTCATCTCCCACCTTGACAATTTTGAGATTTACTAAATCCCCCATATCATCACTCCACTTTAATAATTTCTTCCAATATTACATCCTTTTATGTACCGTCTGCTCCTTTATGGCTGAAAACCTTTTTTTTCCACCACTGACAGTCACTTACTGAACTATTCTATTCCTGTTCTCTCCATCCAATTTATCCCTGCATGTTCTGAAGAGGTCATACTGGTCATGAAACATTAGCTCTGTTTCTCTCTCCACAGATGCTGCCAGAACAGAGATTTTCCAGATTTCCAGATTTTTTGTTTTTATTTCAGATTTCTAAATGTGCAGCATTTTGCTTTTGTTCTGCCTAATTTGCTTTCAAAAACCCTCCCAAAACCCATCTTATTGACCCTACCTATGGTTTACATTTGACCCTCTCCACTTTTGTTATTCACAATATTTAGTGTCCACTATATTCTTTCCTTACTACAAAAGGTCTCAATATATCTTCCTGCACATTTATCTATTCTTAACACAACACGATCCAGTTACATTCTTTTGGGAATTGTTCACAAGCAGCTACTTACACGCACTGCAACCAATAAACAACTGCATAATTTAATAACTGTCATGGAATTCAAAGGACAGCAGGATACAGACAACGCTACCACCCCAACCAAAGTATGAATGTCTGAATTAAAGAACCACAGAAAAGTTTCAGCGCAGAAAGAAGTCATTCAAACCATCATATCAGCACTGGCTGAATAATCTAGCTGCCCATGCTAATCCCATTTAGCAGCATTTGGTCTGTAGCCTTGCAAGTTACAGTTCTTTCGGTGCGGATACAGGTTCCTTTTAAATGAGTGAGGGCTTCTGCCTCAACCACCAAGCTGGGCGGCGAATTCCAGATACCCACCACCCACAATATGAAAACGTTTTTCCCTCATGTCCCCTCTAATTCTTCTACCAATTACCTTGAATTTATGCCTACTGGTAATTGGTCTTTTGCTAGATGCTCCTGTCCACTGTACCCAGCCCTTCATTGTATTGTACACCTTGATTAAGTCACCCCTGAGTCTCCACTGTTCTAAGGAAACCAACCCTAGCCTATCCAATCTTTCCACAAAGGTGTGATTTTAAACCCTGCAGTATTATTGCAAATTTCTCCTGTACTTTCTCTTGGGCAATTATTCCCTTTCTGTAATGTGGTGACTAGAACTGTATACAAAACAGCAGCTATGGCCTAATCAGTACCTTATAATTGTCCCAGTATTACATCCCTCACCCAATGAAAGCATCCCATAAGCCTTCTTTACCATCTTATCTATCTGTCTGCCAACCTCAGGGGCTTGTGAACTCTGTGGTCTCACAATACCCTCTCCAGTATTGCGTATTACCTTGTTTTATTTGTCCTCCTCAAATGCAAAGTCTTACTTCTCCGGATTGAATGTCATTCGTCACGCAATTATCAACCTCGTTCATCTACTACCATTAGCACCTCCCGTGTCTTTTGTTCTCAGCACACTCACTATCTGTTCCACTTGCTTCTCCTCCTGTTTTGTCCACATCATAAAAACAATCATTATTCAGCCCCCTTCAGTTCCGAAGATAATACTGAACGCAAAACAAACTTTGCTTCCATCTCGACAGATGTTGCGAGATTTGCTGAGTTTCTTCACCTTGTTTTTATTTCCAATATCCAACATTTGCAGCACCTTGCTTACCTTTCTGCAATCAACGTCCATTTCTCTTCACCAATCACCGTCAACAATCCGGCCAATTTTTGTATCATCTACAAATCTGCCAATGTTGCTCCCCACATGTAAGTCTAAATCATTAATATATTCTGCAAACAGCAGGGAACCCTAAACTGAGTCGTGTGGAGTACCACTGGAAACCCATCATTATCCTTTGTTTTCTGTCACTGAGTCAATTTTGGATCCAACACACCACATTTCCCTGTATCCCATAATTTTTCTTAATAGTGTGTTAGATTGGACCTGGTAATGCTCTAATAAAATCCACTGCACTATCCTCAGCAATTTCCTTGTTACTTCCTCAAAAACTTTTAAGTTACAAGACAGGACTTTCCCTCAATAAAACAATGCTCACTATTCCTAATTAATCTGCACCTCTTCAAGTAACAGTTAATCTGATCTCTCAATATTGATTACAGTAACTGGTCCACCACTGGAGTGAGAGTGACCAGACTATAATTAATCAGTCATCCCTTGCACGCTTCTCAAATAATAATAAAATATTTACATACCTCTAATCTTCTAGTACCTCACTTGCATTTAGTGAGATTGGAAAATGATCCTCACAACATCCACTATATCCTCCCTGGCTTCCTTTAACAGCCTAGGATATAATTCAGAGATAACAAGGTGTAGAGCTGGATGAACGCAGCAGGCCAAGCAGCATCATAGGAGCAGGAAAGCTGACGTTTCAGGCCTAGACCA